AAGGCGACGGTAATTCAGATTACCACTCTTTACAACTGCGGTGAGCAGCGAAGCTTCTCAGAATGCACAACACGTCGAACCTTGAGGCGGATGGGCTACAACTGCAGAAAACCACCACGTCAGGTTCCACTCCTATCAGCCGAGAACAGAAATATGAGGCCGCAGTGGGAACAGGCAAAACTGGACAGGTGAAGACTGGAAACGCGTAGCCTGGCTTGATGAATCTGGATTTCTGCTCAGGTGCGCAGATGGTAAGGTCAGAATTTGGCATCAACAGCGTGAATCCTCGGACCAAAATGTCTTGTGTCAACCATCCAGGCTGGTGGTGGTGGTGGATCTGAATCCGATGGAAGACCTTTGGGATGTGGTAGAATGAGAGACTCTCAGCATGAATGTGCAGCTCACGGATCTGTGAAAATTATGTCATATAACAAATTTCAAAATAAATATATAAAGATAATAAATAAATATATGTCTAAGTGCCTTCTGAGTGTTTCATTGACACATTTTAGAGTACTTACTTACTTACTTTGAGGACTGAGTTGAGTACTTAAATTGCTTGTGGGTATGAACATGGGTTTGAGTTTACAGAACAGCTGACATGCAGAACTCCAAAATCTGCTCCCCAGTGTATCTGACAAAATATGGAATGTCTGAGCAGGGAGGGGTAGTTAGCAGCTAGGGTTCAAAAACCTCGGCTATCATCACTTTGTCCTTTGCTTTGGCATTGTAAAAGTGATTTGTCTAAACACACCCAGTATTAACATGTAATTATTGTGTTGATGCGGTTTCAACATTGACACTTCCATTAAAAGAACTTAGATGTTTTTAATGATGCCATCAACACTTAAAATGTATGTACCACTGGATCTTTGTTTGTACAATATATGTCACGTGTATTTATTTTTCATAAAATGGCCACCAAAAATAATGCAACAAGAGCTCGGTGTTCTGAATTCCACCCACACAGCCCATGCTGCTGCAAGTGTCAGGAAATGGCTTACAAACCGCTCACATTTCACCATGGGCCCATAGCTTGGATGTATACACGTTAGACTTCTGATGATGCTGGTGGCCAGCACTGCTTTTAGCCACTTGAGTACAAAGACAAAAACAGGAAATGATGAAGTGGATGAAAGGATGGACCGAACTATTAGGTCTGTATGATACCAAATCTGGTGGTGATAAATGCCCCTGACTTACTTGGTTTGAATCCTTGAGCCCGAGCATTAGTTCTTTCTTTGCAGGCAGCAAACAATAAAATGTGAAGTCACAAAAAGAACTGGTTGGCCAGAGGAAGAAATCTTTGTTATCAGCAAACATCAGAGACAGGATAATGCTCATGGTGAGAATCTCCTATAGAACCACAGACTCTCGTTAAGAGAACGTATTTTGTCATACATTGACCAGGACACTAAAATTAGTTGGCTCTTAGGATTTGTCTACACAGAGTATGTACTGCTTTGTTGTGTGCTACATACTCTTGTAGTTCCTATAAAAGGGAAATGGTACAAACAAGCCTTGCTCTTCTTATTAAATATAGCCTTTTAATGAGAAATAGATTATAATATGAAACATTCATTTGAAATAAGCTGATATAATGATCCCAACAGAACAGCAAAAAAGTACATAGGCAAGGTATTAGGTGTAAAAATCTTCAGACATAGTAATGGATACATGTAAGCAACACTGTGGTAGCATAATGCCATACGAGTAAATGTGCTTGTTTTATGGACCTTGCAAGTGGCTCAAAACTAAATTGTAATGTACAGTATGTTTTGACAATATAAAAACAGTCATAAATTGTCATGAATCTAATTAGATACATAAGACATGGGTGCCCTGTACTTTGTGCTAGTGTACTCAAATAGAGGGCTTTTTTTTGAAGTAGTCTTTGTATTCCCTTTCAATACTGTTATATTTTTATAATATCGTTACTGTAGCAGAGCATTGTTACTGTAACAGAGTTAATATTTACAGATATATTGTACAACAGGGGACAAAAAAATAGCCACCATAACTTCAAGTCATCCTTTGTCTCTGTCTGGTGGTTGCATTCCCCACATGCACAAACCTCCTTGAAGCTTAGTCCTCAGGAGGAGATGAAAAGTGTGTTTTTGATCATGTATGGTCTTCAATTCTGAAGCAAATTCAGTGTCACTCTTCTGTGTAACATCTAAATGTTTTCTCCAGCTCTAAACATGTTAAAGGGATAGATAACAGGCACTTAATAATAATAATATTAATAATGAAAATAATAATACTAATAATACTAATAATACTAATAAGGTAACAATTCATTTGGATACTCCAATGTTGATGCTGAACAATCAATTCTCGTATTTACTGCATCTCTATTGATTACAGGATTGTGGCCATCTAGGTTTAGCACCAGTATGTCAGAATTAGCTCTACATCAGCTTAAGCAAATCCATTATGAGACACTGTCATGGCATGCAAATGTTAGCAATGGATGCTAACATATCTGCAAAACTGTAAAAGCACTACAATATTAGCACGAGCAAGCAAATAAGCTCAAAACTGAGCCTGACAAACTTCAGCAACACCACGGATCTTTGAAACGGCTGCCCTCTAGAGAAGTTGGCGTTTGCCTCGGCAGCAGCAGGATGTGACTCTGCGGCCACAGCTGCCTTCTACACCCCAACAGATGCACTAGTCACGATACAGTACATTTTAATTCAATCCACCCGTCCGGGCGCCCCTCTTTCCTCGCTGCTGCTGTTTACTTCAGGCCAGCGCTGTCATCCTTTCGCACATTTGAAACAATATCATACCAGTGATGACTGCTCACTCTTTGAAAAGCAGCTTCAGAGGTATTGAGCTATTAATCTGACAAAGATAAAGACTGATGAAAACTGTGTACGGTGAGATCAATTTAATAACATAGAGCTGAGCCTGACAAGCTGAGCCTTAGTCATCCTAAACTGGCCACCACATATGCACTAACATACAATGGAAATCAAGACAATTGAATCACCTGAAATCCATTAGATTTTGGAGTGATACATTATTGTTACATAATAAATAAGTGACTAAGTTGTTATTTATAAAGCACCTCTCAAGTGTTAAAAGACTGACAACAGTAAAATAAACTATAAGGACAATCATTGTCACACAAAGCCAGACATGATTCCGTTTGCCTACACCATGTCCAGTATGCACATCGAGAGACAACTATTAAAGTTGTGATTGCGGATGTAGTGAATTTTTTCTACTCTTTATCATACTGCAGATTTAACGCTAAATGGATAAAATTGCAATTTCACCCATCGATCTACACTCAATAACCCATAATCACAAAAATCTGTCTGTTTGTAAATCGGTTCTTTACAAAAGTATTCAGACCCATGATTCTGCACTTTGTGGAAGCCCCTGTGGTAGCAATTAACAGCTTCCAGTCTCTACAAGCTTTGCACACCTAGATTTGAGCAGTTTATCCCATTCTTCCCGGCAGATCCTCTTAAGTGCCATCAGATTGGATGGGACGCGTCTGAACTGCCATCTTCAGGTCTCCAAACAGATTTTCTATGAGGCTTAAGTCTGGGGCTTTGGTTTGGCCTCTCACTGACAGTCAGAGAATTGTCCTGAAGCCACTCCAGTGTTGTCTTGGCTGTATGCTTAGTTGTGCTGACAGCTGAACTGTCACCTCACCTGTACAATGCACCACATTTTCTTCAAGGACCTCACTGTATTTGGCTGTATTCATCCTTCTGACCTGTCTTCCCTGTCCCTGCCACTGTCTGGAGGATGGAATGAGCCAGATGATGAGCAGTGCCTGGTCTTCACCAGACATGGTGCTTGGATTTCAGACCAAAAACTTTTGTTTCATCACATAGGGTATCATATGCCTTTTACTCAAAGAAGCTTCCATGTAGCAACTCTACAATAAAGGCCTGATTGTGAGTTGGACATCCTTCAGGCAGGTTCTACAGGGGAGATGCTCTGTTAGAGTGACCATTAGGTTCTTGGTCACCTCCCTTGACCAAGGTCCTTCTTGTCCTGTCACTCAGTTTAGCTGGAGGGTCAACTCTAGGAAGAGTCCTGGTGGTTCCAGTCCTCTTCCATTTCACAATTACTGAGGCCACTGTGCTCCTGGGAACACTCAGAACTTGCCTCACCACTGTTTTATCAAGAAGATCTACAGAGAATTCCTTGGAGTTCATGGTTTGTGTCCTGACACGCAGTGCGAATTGTGGGACCCTGTGTGTGGCTTTCTTAACTATTTCCAACTCAATTTGCCACAGGTGGACTCCAATCAAGTCCTAAACACATCTCAAGGATAGTAAACAAGATGCACCTGATGATTTGCTGTCCCACAGCAAAAAGTCTCAATACTTTATAAGTGAGAGATTTCCTTTTTTAGCTTTAAATCGATTCACAAAAATGTCTAAAAGCATATTTTGACTTTGGGTTATTGAGTGTAGACTGATCAGCAGAAATGGTGATTTTATCCATTTAAAATTAAATCCCTGACACAATAAAGTGTGCAAAAAGTGAAGGGGTCTGAATACTTAACTAAGCCACTGTATGTCCCTAAAGTTTTGTTCCAGAGCTGCTGCAATTTGTTGTTTCAATTGTTGCCCCAACTTTGACCACTGTATTCAAGAGGTGTTGAATCCTTTGAGGAATTCCAAAGCTGGTTTCCAGTTTCGTTGTTGCCCCCCCCCCCCCACACACACACACATTTATGTCACAGCCCACAATTGTTATCCTGAGATATATTACATATCTCTGTTTACAGCTAACCCTGCAAGTAATCTTATCACAATGTAAAACAATTACTTAAAAGTACACAAAAATTAAACAAACAATACCAAAGCAACTGAACTATAGCAACATCGAGAGACCAACAGACACAAAGAAAACAAGAAGAAAAACTGGAAAAGTATGAGTTTTTAGATGTCATTCTAAAAGCTTGCAACTGGGCTGGCAGCTTTTACACTGGGATGGTGTTTGGGTGACATGGCGGAAAATATTAAGTCGCCTCTTTTTTTTTTTTCTTTTTTTTTTAAGTTTAAACCCATGTATGGCTGAGACAGTTAAGTTGTACAACATGGGGGACCTTGCCTTTCTTGTTAATGAACATGCAAATAATGGACTGGACCTACAAAAAGTCATCGGTAATATCAATGTTTCAGCATCGGATTACCCAAATAAAGAGTGACCATAAATAGATACTGTAGGTAGTGTTTCATATTTAACTTTGATGATTGAGGGTGTTAAACAAGTTGCAGCTCTGTTGGTGTTTCCAGCAACATGCAAACAAAAAGTTAAAATTTCATATCTGGAAAGAAAAACAGACATTTTTACATGTGGGCATAAAAGCTTACAGATTACTCACTGCCAAAAAGGTATTTTAAGCTTTAATATAACCATTTCTTCTTCTTCTTTTTTTTTTTTTTTCCTGTGACACAACATCGAAATTCAATGGCTTTCAACACAATTCGTATCCAACATAAATATGCCCTCTCTTGTCATCTGCCTTTTTGCTGTGTTCTTATCTGAAATCAACTGAGAGAATAAAACAAAAAAACACACAAATGGGACATTTTTTTTTCCATGTTATGAAGTAAGTTCTAAGTGAAACAGGGATGAACTTTATGTCTTACTTATGTCTACCTCAGGGAAGTGTATGGCTTTAAGTTGTCTTGCAAATGTGCCCGAACGATGAATGTTTACATTTTGCTCTTGGTGCTGAAAAGCTCCACAAATCAGCAGTCACAACATGTACATTTTGCAAAGCTGTACAAAATAGCATTGATTGTTAAATCTTCAGACCACAATATTGCACTCACGCACCAGGAGGTACTGCCTTGTGAAAAACACAGCTTGAATTTCAAACACGGGAAGAAGCGCTCCAAATGCAAGATTCAGCTTAGACTGGAGTCAATCTCAAATGACACATTCAATTAACGAACAGCAATAAGCATCAAGCCAAAAAAAGGTATGTGCACACTTGCACACTCACATACACACACATTCACCCACATATATATGTATATATAAACAGCTGGCTTTTGTTATTTGACATGACTATCCATTACTGCCCTGCTGTGTGCCTTATGTGTCAGAACAATGACAGAGTGCCTCATAACTCACAAAGAGCAATGCAGATTCACTGTGGGTTTGAAATGTAATAAAGAGTCTATAAGTAATGTGTTGACTACTTATTCTCTAGGGCTATTTAATCCTTACAATGTATAAACATCTTTAATATTAAACTGTCCATTATGTCTGAAATATTTTGCACATTAGCTGAAATAAAAGGATATCTGGTCTGCCCTTGTGTTATGTCATTATTCCTTTAAAAATGTTTTTTTCTCAGTAAAGAATGGCAGTTTCAGATATAACCTTTGATCCCTCAGAGTAAAATCAAGGCCTCTTTTTCACCAGTACATAGATTTAATATTTCTTTTTTTTTTTCTCTCTCTCTCTTTTAAGTTCTTTAAGGGAATGACAGACATGCTGGGACAAATATGATACAGTCCTTATAGTGGTTCCATTAATCTTCGTTATCCGCCTGAAATGCTTTTCATCACTGCCTTTTTCCTTTTTCTCTTTAAGAATTCTGCTTACAAAGTTAATATTACATCAAAAGGCAGAAAAGGTCCAAAAATGAAAAAGAGAAAACAAAATTAAGATTAATATCCCCTTATAGTTCATTTGTTGGGTTGTTTGTGTTTAGTTTGCTGTCTTGTTTTAATGTTATTATGTTCAGCAGAGTTTAGCAGTCAGGTGATCTGATTGTTTTAGTATCTCTGTGCTGTACATGTCCAAGGCATGATTAACTCGAATCATTTCGCTGTTGTTGAGCTTGAGCCTATGCTTTAGCATACAAGAGAAGAGGTCCAGCTGGGGTTTGCCAGGTGCAGATGGAGGGGCTAGGCGGTTAATCCGATCCCTAATGTCCAGTAGCAGGAGCATAACAGATGAGGATGAGTAGAACTGAGTTCCTTGAGTGTACGACTGGTTAACCTGCTGCACAGCACTACGGAGCAGGTCGGCATTAAAGCGCAGGCTGTAGCCGAACACTTGGATATCAGATATTTTTATGTAGATCTGGCGCTTGTTAGGGTCTGCAAGGTCCACTGGGCCCTGTCCTGTGTCATTGCGTAGGCCGGTTGGGATCTTAGCACGGCTACGCAGGTAGATGTGCACGGTCTCGAAGAAGGTCTTCCACCGGTTGCCAAGCAGGAGAGTCCAGTTGAAGCACTGGGAGTTCTGCAGTCGTACTTTTTCCCAGCGTGGGTAACCATGTTCACCAAAGGGCATGCTCCAACCTTCTGAGTGACTACCACTGAATGGGTTGACGTAAACAAAAAACATGGGGTCGATACTGCTGTTTCGCATCTGGCAGATCTTCATTGATAGACCGATAATCATGTGAAGGTAGTCCATCCGGTTTTTGTTACTTTTGAGAGTCAGGGACATGCGCTTACGCCATCGAGGGTCAAAGAATGTCTCTAGGCGGATCTCATTACTGATGAAAGTAGTATGAATGTACAGTCGGGAATCCATTTTCTGTAACAGGTATTTGAGTTCCAGGTCCTGAAAGTCCAGATCAGTTTCAAAGCTGATGAACTGCTCACTACGTTCTGAGTCCACATTCTGGGGCTCACAGCGACCACGGTACAACTTGTAGCCCTTGTTGCAGGAGCCGCATTGTGAGATGTTGGCCAGGCTGCACATGGCACAGCTGTTGTTGCCACCTATGACACAAGGGATGGGTCGTTGGCACAGGGTGACACCTGTGTGGCACACGCATGTCCTTTGGCTCTCCAGGAAGGTTCCCCAGAACCCATTCTCATTGCAGTAGAGGAAGGACTGAACCCTGTTGAGCCACTGCATCACAGATCTACAAAGAGAGAAGGAAAAAAAATGGATAGAGGCATTAACAGTGGTCAGATGGAAAGCACCAATGCTGGCAAATCTTCCATAGCATACCATGGTTTTTGTGCATTTTTTTCCCAGAAGACCTTTGGTTTTCATTCATCTCTGTAACAATGTATTGTTGAACTGTGTTTTAATTTTGTGTAAATGCACTTGAATAAAATGTCAAAACATTTGACCTTTTCCACTGTTATACCACTCAATGGTACAGTAGCATACAGTAACTGACAAAAATAAACCTTTAATGCAGTTAACTGGGGTAGATTACTGTAATGTACCTATGTCAAGTAAGATAAAGTGTGTGCAAGTTGACTTAACCAAATGGCTTCAAGGTATAAAAACATATTAAAATGTTAAAAATCAATGAAATACAGTGCTTGTGGCATTAATGTATATATAAAAAACATCTAGTCTAGATAGTGAATAGGATGATTTCTTCCCTTCAAGAAGGAGGAGTTGGGTTATTTCACACAAGTGGAAGACATTATTTGCTATTCTTATCTTGTCTCTTTATTTCCCCTAAGGCATCTTCTCTTGTCATCTTGACAGTCCTGGAACTTCTTTTCTGAGTATAGGAGGTTAATTCTGAATCCTGATTTTTCAGAGAGGAGAGCTAGTCAAGGTTAGCTTGACATGTTAATGAACCTAAGCATTAACTATGATGGATGACATTGCATTCTCAGCAGGCCAGCAAGCCCCCAAGCTATACCCAAAATGAGCCCAGAACAGATCACCTATAGAGGACAATGGAAGCACAGAGATGGATCCTGAGAACTCTGCCTTCATACTGATGGGATAAAGTGACGGTGTGCTATAATTTTCATGATCCCATATTCCCACACCTTTTCCCAAATATTAAGGCTTTTGAGGCCTGCATTTTCAGTGGTAACTGAATGGCTGGAAATCAGTTCAGTGCAGCCTGTACATTGTTGTCTTGTTAATTTCAAGGACTGCATGTAACAACAATAGCTTCTCAGCTGTGATTGGCCTTTCTTGTATGGCAGGCAAGAATGGTTTTACCTTTCTTTACAAATAATTCAATAGTTGTGTTTTAATAAATACTCAACTTTCTGCACGCAAAGTAACCTAACAAAGATGTAGTGTTTCATCTACCTTTCACAATTCAGGGCTGTATAAGTCAGTGACATTTTTGATAATAGTTAACACCAAGTTATCTGAAATGCTGTTAAACTGTTAAATGAAGGAAACTGAATCAATGCTGTGAAACTGCAGAATTTAAATTATGCACTCTTTCTGAGGTTAAAGCGCTTTGGAAGGGTTTGAAATGTATACCAATAAGTCATCAGCATAACATGATATTTTGTACTTTCTGGAGGGACACTGCACAATCTGAGATTGCAAGTTGCTCAATGATATGCATTAATTGGAGAGGGGAAAGGGGACAATCGTCTCAACAGGGTAACGTGACTAGAACTGATGCCCTTAAACTATACCGAAGAATGAGGTTGGGAATAGAGTAATTCCATTTAAACAAATATACTTAGGAACGAATCAAAACTTTAACAAGGACATAACAACTCATCTAACCTGAATGACTAGCTATGAGTTGTGCTGTAATAGGATATACAGTATACACACACACATATATATATATATATATATATATACAGTATATATAGATATGTGAGTGTGTGTGTGTTGGTGTAAACCGGTTGTTATCATCAACCTTTGGGCTCACTTGTCTGTAAAAAGATTTACTGAATCAGAGAGACACTTGCAAGATTAATTGTTGGGTCAACACCAACATATCAATTGCCATATTATATATATATATCTATAAGTAGATATAATTAGAATAAAGGAGATTTAATCACTAAAGTCTGGGAAAGAAATGGATACTTAGTGCTGCATATTATGTGCAGCCTGAATAATTTCCTGTACAGTGATAGGTTTTTCCAGGAACTTCTTTCAATGTTTGGAACTTTAGAAAAGGAAAAAAAAAGATGAAGCCTTGGTAATATTCCAAAGAACATAACTTTATATATGAAGATTTAAAGGTGTTATTTATCACCTATAGATGAAGTGTAATGTCTCTAATTAATCTACTTCTAGCCATTTCCTTAATTTAGTATGCTTGAATTTTGCCAACTGTCACTGGCAAAAATTTTGTTTTGCATAAGTCACAAGGTTAGTTTTCTCCATGGACAAAAGCAGACTGGAGAGGAACGCTTGTCTTTATATGGAATCTGATGACGGAGAAACAGAACAGATAATGCTGATCTCATTTTTATATTTTGTCAGACTTTAAGTTTGAATTTTCTTTTTCTCTGTGTAGTTTCTTGATTAAAGTGCTGTATAATAGAGGATGTCTGTGAACACATGCTTTGAGTGTCTTTAGTTTGTTGTTTTTAGATTTGCATTGTGAAAATGGCTTTTTTTCTATCTTGCTCTGCAAATATTTTGTGTGATAGAAAGTGCCACATCTTGGTTGTGTACTAAGGTTTTTTTTTGTCGTGATATTTGTTTGCAACATGGCATTACAGACTCTGAGAAAGCCTGAAAGCCTCTGACTCATGCCAAAAACATGAGAGCTGGCAGCCCTTAAATATAAACTACCCTCAGATGTGCATTTTTTCATGTATTTTGTTGTATTCGTGTGGAGCTGCTATTTCTTGAGCTTGTTTGCTTATGTGCACTAGTGTGCTGCTATCTACTTTTGGCTCTTCCTGAGAGATGAAATGTCTTAATCTCCTGGTGCAGGCAGTGTATTTGTGATTTTATATCACTTTCCACTGCAGTGTTGCAGTTTGGCCCAGAGTGTCTTCAGAGAGATGGATGTATCATGTTATCTTCCTCCAGCTCGTGTTTGCTGTCCACTCCAGCATAAATATGAAAAGGAGCTACCAAGTACAGACGTGCCAATACATTGGGTTTACTATATACCGTGGTGAAACATTTGAATGGTAACACTGCCAAGAATATCTGTTAGCGTTATTATTATTTTCAGGGGGCACCGTGAGCACACCGCAGAACTCCTACCTTCTTTTGCAGTTTTGTTTTAATTAGCCATAAGGGAGGCAGAGCAGCAACCATCCTCCATGACTGTCTAGCTTTGAGCTCTATAGGTACTCTTGCCATTACTTGCTAGGCTTACATTAGCTAGTTAGTCTGCTGCTAGTGTTGTAATATTCAGTGAGAGAGTGAGCATGCATTTTACATAACTGGAAAAAAAGAAACTTTCTGCCTCAAGGTTGCGCAGACTATGTTCTTCCTCACAGGTGCGCTACACATGCCTGTGTTGGCAAAATACACCCATTTGACTTTTCGATTCTTTAACAGCTGTTAGCATCTAAAAGAAAATCAGTGTGTATTGTGATGGCACATGCCCTGCCAGTGTGTGTGTGTGTGTGTGTGTGTGTGTGTGTGTGTGTGTGTGTGTGTGTGTGTGTGTGTGTGAAGCCCAGTCAGCTCTGGAGCACCTGGACCCAGTGCTCCACAGGACATGAAAAGACCCAGCCCTCAGCAAAAAAAGAGATGTTTCCTTGTGCAATAAAACCTGTCACGTGTGTCAGTTTACTGGAAAGCCGAATCAGAGCATTAAGCCAGCTCTACTGCAGCCTGTTCCCGCTGTAAGCGAACCACTTGAACATCTTATTGTAGACTGTGTGGCTCTAAATCTGGCTGTAAATATCTTCTTATGGAGGTTACAAGATATCCAGCTGCTTATCCACTGCGGTCAATAACAACTAAAGCTGTTGTCAAGGTGCTGTCTGAACTCATTTCAGCGTTTGGCATCCCGAAATTTATCACGTTTTCTAACGTTTGGCCAGGTGTTAAAGCTTTTATGCATAAACCATAACCAGACCCCTCACCAGCCTGTCTGTGTGGGCGCAAGTGTGTGTGTGTGTTTCCTTCCTTTTGTTGGTATCAGAGGAGCCTGATTGGAGCCACTCAGATCTGGTGCACCTGGGCCTAGTGCTCCCCTAAGGCCCTGCCTTCAGCGTGGCTCTCGCTCGGCCATGCCCGCAACCCCATTCTGTTTTGTTTGGCCTTTGGTTTATTTCTACACCTTACAACACCTCTCACTACATTGTTCACACACACATTCACATTTATACCACTGATGTTACCAACGCATACACCTAACATTCCAAACTACTTTCTACTACTTTTGTTTTTTTGTCACGGCCCACGACAGGGTGCACTGCACATAAAATCTAATAGACACAGACAAATTTTAAATAATTTGTAGTCAACTGTCAATCAGTCTAGATGTGTAGATGTGTCCACCAAACCTGCAATACATAACTCACTGTTCAATTTGTTAGGTTTTATCAAATTTTTTTTTTTTCTATATCTCAGCTCTAATAAACATTTGATACCAGTACTAGCTAATGCAAGCTAATGCATTGTGTATCTTTATAAGTAAGTAGATTTCAGTACACAAGGTCATGCTTTCATATTCATTTTACATTATGTAATTTGCAAATAGTGCAAACGATCTCTTGGCCAACCATAAACTTGGATGTGAGTGACACACTGGACATCTGTTAAGTCAGGATATTGTAGAATACACAACACATTTCAAATATCTTTTGTTTAGAACATAAAAATCTTTGCCTGACAGGAAATGGCACAGAAAAGAGATTGGTTTCAGAGGTGCCTCAAATACAAAAAGTATTCCCATTATTTTTTATTGGCTATTCATTATTGAATTGGACACAGGCCCAGTCATAATGATCCCTCCTTTGAATCTATTTACTCTTGAAATATCCAGTCTGAAATACTGAACTGAAATATATTCTATCAAAGAACTGCCTCCCTCAATAAGCTACTTGAGTGCACCATGCAGCCAGTTTTATTTTTGCCTTATTTGTTTCCATCTGAAGCAATGGCTTGGCTCAGATTCGACATAGGAAATTAAATGAAAACACACTGGAATGGACGCTGTTTGTTTTCTGTGTTTGCTCTGTGTTTTTAATAGGGCATCAAACAGCCCTGGTGTTCTGATAACATGCATCATAGCTCCTCCCTATCTAGGAGCAAGGAAAAGAGAAGAGGGAAAGAAAACATCAGAGCGGGAGAGAAGAGTCTGCCGCTGGAGGAAAACAGAAAAAGAAAGACAAGCAGATGAGGCACACAAATTTAAAGATGTACATTAATGTGAGAGAGACCCATACCCTTGATGATTCCATGTGCATTAAATACTAATAGTTGGTCAGGGTATGTATAAGCAAAAACTGAAAATGTAAGACCTGTAATTGTAGACATAGGCAGAATCATGTCAAAATCAATATAAATTAGGACAAACTAATTCATCATATGGAGGGTACAGTCATATCTGTAAATATGCTTGACTTTGAACATGAATAATTAAAGCCAATGCATAGCCAGAATGTAAATGATTTGGCTGGGAGTGATGCTGCTTCATATCTGTCACTATTAATCATTTATACCAAAGACAAACTGTTATGTTCATTCTACTTGAAGCAAGCCGCTATACTCATTACAGGAAATGCAATCGCAAATCCAATATAGTTCACGTATAAAGTTTCCACACAGTTATTGCAGTGGGTGTTCACAGCAGGAATTTACGATGCTTATAATGAATGGATGCCTTGTGGTGAGGTAAAACTAGAAAAATGATAAGGTGATATGCATTTGTAATTATGGACAGCCAACAATGCATCTGGTGCCTGTCTTTCATTAGCTGATGTAAATATGTTTATTGACTGACCTCATTTAATATGCAACAGTGAAGGGTGATTTAAAACTTAAAATCTTTTTTGGATAAGTTTGAATTGATAACACAAGTTTACATCATAATAATTGCACTGAGTAATAAGCAGCTTCCCCTTGTTTCATTTTGCATCCATAATTTAATTAAACTAAAATGCACCAGGACCGGCATAATATGGATGCCCTGTTAGGGTTGCATGTAAGAAATGAAATGAAACTAAAGAGGAACTGCTCTATTTAGGATGCATTATCTCTGAATGCTTAATACAGTACCTCTGGACAGTTCCTCTATCTTTAAATTAGTTATGAATATACTGTACATTTACACACATTCACAGTTATACCTGCCTGAACAGTGTGTGCGTGATAGACATGAGAGACACATTAAATTGCTAGCTGGTCACTCAAATGAAATATAAAAAACAAAAAAAACAAAAACACACTCACTCTTGTGCATCCAAACTCCATGAGTGAATTAGCTTTCTTATCTAGGTTGCCTAGGCAACAAAGCATAAGCAAAAGCTTTCCTTTTTTTTCAGGCACCAGACATCAATATAACGTAAATTAGATTGTGGTTGGGAATGAAAATTGGGTTGACGTCAAAACCCAGTGTTGACTAATTGACATTGTGATGTTTAAGCAGAGGTTGGGTTTTGCTCATGACTAGAATGTCGATATTGCCGTTGGCATGAGACATTTGGACGACGCTGGACTTCGGTTATGTAACAACACAACTTAAAATCAACAAAATATTGTCAGCTGTTGTCAGTATTCTATGTCAGGCTACGTTTCCAGCACATTGGAAAAGACTGTCTTGGCCACCTTGCAGCACCTTGGCAAAGCCACAGCTCTCTTAGAAAGATACAGTATCAGCCTTCTTTCCCCCCCTTCATTTCCCCTCTTTGTCTTTCATGTCAGAAATTGCAGTCCAAAAACTGATATTACAGTTTTCTTATTGGTTTTAATAAATCTGAAGGCTGACTTCATGAACCATTAGTACCTCATCCTGTTGTCTTGCTTCCCTTGACACCCTTTTCAGAGTCAAGGGAACCAATACAGATGGATGAAGTGTCTTAGTAAGTTGTTGGGCTGCCGCATGCCACCAGAATAGATTCAATGCACCTTGGTATTGATTTTACAAGTCTCTGGAAATCTAGTGCAGGGATGAAAACCCTTCTTCCAAAAGATATTCCCTCATTTGGCGTTTTGATTAAGGTTGGTGAAGATACCTCTCTGACATGTTGATCCAAAATCTCCCATAGCTGTTCCGTGGGGTCGAGTTCTCGTGACTGCAAAGGTCATAGGATATGATTCACATCATTTTCAAACTCATCAAACCATTCAGTGACCCCTTGTGCCCTATGGATGGGGGCACTGCCATCCTGTTTCTCCACTCATTTTTTCAGGTTTTTCCTTTATTTTGTCACCGGTCTGTATTTCTCCTTCCACCCCCTAAAGAGATACACTGCACTATCAACAAGTTTTCAGGGAACCTCTGAAGATGATTTTGAATGGCCCCTTAAGTGTAAGATGTAAAGTTTAAAGCAAGCAAGATAGTACAGACCCTGAGGAGATATTGTTTTTTCCACCTTTTGATCTGACACAGAGTTGAGTAGTGTTCAAAACAGTGGTACGCCAGTGAGGTAAGCTGTGATCCAAGTGACCACTGGGGCTTTTACATAGATAGCTCAGCGGATCTCTCCCAGTAGAGGAGCCTGGATGGTGTTAAAACCACTGGAGAAGTCAATGAACATGATTTTCACAGTGACTCTCCAAGTGGGAGTATGCAAAGAATAGCAGCTGGATGACAATGTCATCCTTCCCATTGTGGGCCTGATGTATGAACTGGAGAGAATCCAAATGGTCTCTCACAGGGGATCTGGCCTGCTGTCATTTAGAACCCTGGTGTGCCCATTCTTGGCCACTGGGGCCAGGCAAGATGTTTTTCACATCATCATCAGCACACTCTAAGCCTCTGCAGTCTCACTGACAGGTTGAAGATGTGCTGGAAGGCCTCCCTGAGGTGGTTGGCACACACCTTGAAAACACTTGGGCTGATGCTTTATGGGCCTTCAGCTTTGCTTCAATTCCCTCATCCTTTGATCAGCTGTTATAGGCTACCCAGAGGAGAGGTGGGACGGGGATTCATTCTTCTTGAATCAGGGACAAAGAAGAGGCAGGTAGACAGTAATGCAATGATAGCACAACTGACTGATGACAAGCACTGGGCAAACACAAATAAGTAATAACACGTAACCTTTTAACATCGTATCTCTCACGATACAGTTAAATATGAACAAATGACCATTTGTTTTCATTACACATGAAGATAAGGCATAATAGGGGGTTGATGTGACTTGGGATGGAATGACACTAAATCATATTCTGGAAAACAATTCATCATACTCATATGAAAACATAACAATATATAAAGTAGGAGGAAAATGAGTTCAGAACCCCTGTGTGAGCTATAGACCACTCACACATGCACCCAAAGCGCACTGTCACGCACAGAGGTGATGAAAACAAATAAGTCCTCCATCTGATGCAAAGCCGTCTCACACAAGCAAGCAAATAAACATGCTGCTCTTATTTCCAGTGCCATCAGGCACCCTTGATGTGTACTCCATGGAAGAGGAAGCGCATACTGCGGCTCTTTGATAACACTTCAGAACAAACCTTTGCCAACTCTCACACACAAATGTGGGTGTGCTCCTTTTCTGTCAGTGACAGTTCACAACTGCTCATTTTCAGACCACTTAAATGAATATTTTACGGATCCTGATTCCATTTACATGGTGACATCCCCTACATGGAACAGTTTTAGGGGGTGTTTCATGTGGCAGTCTGGAACTTATATAGCATATTTTGTGTAGTGTTTTCTGATATTTGCTAGAGCGAATGGGGAAATTCCTGGCATTTCAGGCAGTGCTGACACCACAGCACATCCGCAGCAAGGCTCTTAAGCTGCAACTGCAGTAGGTGGTGACAGATGTGTGCAATGACCTATCAAGAAAACTCCCACAGCTACATTTTCTTTTCAGACTGCAATATGAAATACAAGAGTGAGCAAGAGTGCTTTAGGCATGTGCAAGCCTCAGCACTAAGTTGACTTGATGGACAGAAACAACAGAACCATAAGTTGAAATATATAATGGATGACATACTTACTGTGCATGCTTCAAGAACTAACAATCAATATAAAGCCCCTACATCATCTCAGAGAAGAAATTTCCCTGAAAGATATCACTCTTCTGTGGGATGCATTTTCACATTTACTTTTCCAGCACTTGGAAAAGCAAACCTTTGGTTTATATTGCCGAGTAAATCCACATCCAATTTCCATCATGATATAGAGGTCGTATTTCTACCCACCTCTCCCTAGGCATCTGGTGGTTGGGGTTGTGGTGACAACGGATGCTGAGGCCAAAGAGCTTACGGGCGGTGCGCTGGATCTTGAGCCGCTGTATCTCCAGGGAACTCTGGAGGAGCCTGTAGCGGGCTTGCAGGTCCCAGTCGCTGCCCCACAGGAGATGCACACTGCCGATGGGCAGGAAGTGAGTGGAGGGCAGCCTCTTCAGGAAGGACTTGAACTCGTCTGGGTAACATAGAGAGACGGAGTGAGGGCATATTGCAAAACAGAGAGACAAGGAGTGGGAAGGGAATGTGGTGGTGTGACAGAAAAAGTGACAGATAATTACAAGTGTGGATTTATTTTACTGGAATACTTAGAAAGTGCTGAGTTAGTGAGAAGGGGCAATTACATTCTTCCACTTCTGAATAAAATTAATTCATTTCACTTCATATGAATATTTTTGTATTATACTTCCTAGTAATATAATCATAATAACAATAATAATCAATATATAAGCAAGACTTTGCCAGAGAGGTAAGTTACACTGACGTTTCCAGACCAAATTTGTTCAAATGAGATATAGAGAAATAAACAATCTCATGTGTGTACCTATGGATGTGTTTTAACCAAAGGCTAAGTGAGTAAAACATGAAAAAGTGGTGAGTGGGTTTGTTTTCCAAAAAAAAAACCACTCATTTATTTGTTCAACAATAATCTTGCAAGGCATCCTGGGTAGAATTACAAACAATGAGCAGATTGTTTTGCGGGAGTCATACTGGTGAGTGACAAAACTCTTGAATGTGTTGTCAAAAGACTTAGTCAGTAAGTTGTCATCTAAAATGGATGTTTACTGTAATAAAAATCAATTAACAGAGCAGAATGAACCTTTATTAACTGGTATATGAGGAACCAAGTTCTTTTGTATTGTAGCTTTCATGTATGTTATTGCTCTATATTCAAGCTGACCACTGTTATAATTTGATTAATAACTAAATAAACGAAATAAAATAAAACATCATACTCTTCTCTAGAAGTTTCCAAAGGTTTAGGCACATAGAGAAGACAATTGTCTAAGAAAATAATCACAAAGGAAAGTGCTTTCATGTGGATAATGTTTATAGTTTATACAGTTTATAAAGGACATAAAACTGTTGTCACGAGCAAAATGTGATAATCAATAAAGTTTTGCCTGTGTTGCACTGCAAAAGGATCAAGGATTCTATACCCCTCACATTTTGTAAGAAACTGGAGAAGAAAGTCTATATTTCTATATTTTCAAATGTGGCTGAGGTCAGTGAGCTCCCAGAATCCTGACCCAACTTCGTCAAAAGTTGCTCTTATAACATGTTGTAGAATGTCTCTGGTTTACTCTTTTGAGTTGCTTCTATTGTGAGGATTTTTGAAGAGAAATAAGACCTTGAGAGCAGTAAACACCCTCTTAGTCTGTACTCCCACACACTTGTTGAAGAGCAACAAATCTGTTCTCAGCCGTGCTGATCACTGTCCTTGTGTTCCTCTCGCTGCCTCTGATAATTCTTGCTTGTCTCCTCCCTGGGCAACCCGTGAGCCCAGCTCCCTGACCCTTGTTTTCAACACTAGCTCCAATTTTTACCATCAATGGACATGAAGATAATTTTAAAACTCCAATGGAAAACACACAAGGACATGAAATCTTTTATTTGGTGTGCTAATTAAATGAGTCATGACTCAGAGTTGCTCATTACTATCTCTGAAGATAAATTTAAGCACATCATTAGACATAATAAGTAAACAATTCAATGCCGAAAAGGTCCCCTTAGCAATAGCAGCGGTCAAGCTCAAAAGTAGCCTTATACAAACAAAACTGTCTCTACTCTGGCTATGAATTTTGTCTGCGTACTGTCCACAGCTATAATCTTAAAATTAATGCACCTAATGTTTAAAACCTCCAGGGTTAAACAATATTTATTGTGGAGGAAAAGATAACGCAAATATTCTCAGTGAGGAGGCAAAGCTTCTTCACACCCCAGATCCCCATATTGAAGACATGTAAAGACCTGTACAGTATGGCAGCACCCTCCTACAGACCTATCCAAGACAGTTTAACAGCATTAACCACAGAGCTCAGAGCTCTTTCTCAGCCGCAGCCGAGAAATGTCAGAATTTCCTCCACTCTTCTTCCAGGCGTGTCAAGAGTTCCCTTCCCCCTTTTCTTCACAAGAAGCCAGATTCCTTCTCCTCCCCTGTTTTGAATTTGCCATATTCCTCCACCCAGTTTTCAGAGATGTCAGGTGCCGCCCTCTCCCTTTTCTTAGAAAAGCTGGGTGTCTTCTGCACCCAATATTCAGAATAATCTGATTCCCCTCACTAAAAGAAAAAACCCATTATGAAGTCACTCCCCAATGCCAGGTCAAAAGCTGCCAAGTCCTTTCACATAAGCATTAAAGCCTTCAAGGATCCCATCCATGACATAGATTCCAAAGAGTCCACATAGTCTCCTTGAATGACTCTTATCACAAGTCACCCAGCACACCTTATCTAAAGATTACAGCTCTCAGTCTAACTCCACTTCACCCCTTTGTGCCATTACATCACAATTTGTTGGCTCTCCATACTCCTACCCTGTTTATTCACCATTGAGATTTATGTTGTAATTGTGCCAAAAAATATGCTACAAAGATAAATAAAAAAAAAAAAGAAATGAGGGAGAGATGTACAACCAAATCAACTAAACTAGCTGGCACTCTTGAAATAGCTAGTGCACTTTCTAAAAAATGACATGTGGTAATTTTCACTACAGTGGAAGATCTTGCACATTATCTGTGGGAGTGGAGGATGGTAATATCAGTCATGATAAATCAAACCACCTCTTTTACTTCCTTTTAAAAGGCAACGGACTAGGCCAAAAGTTTCTCCCAAGAGGAAACTGGGAGTCTTTGTAGGGGAGGTTCTGAACATAATTACCATGAGCAGGAGAAAAGTGTCTTGACATGATGTATCTCATTTTCTTAGCATTTTACTTTGGTAATAACAGTGGTTACTTGCCCAATCAGATTTGGTGGCAGTGTGAGTTTTTTTCTTTCTTTTTTTCCCCCGTGCACGAGGTTTTCATATCAGTGCTTACTTTGCCATCGTACAGTATGCTACTTAGACATTAATGGCCCACTCCAACGTTGGTGTAATCATAGTAAGTCAGCGGAATACTAAGTAGGCTGAGGTGAGAGGAAAAAAAGTGATTCCTGATAAAAAAAAAATGTCACTATGCAGAAACACATGTCACATAACATAAAAAGCTGTTCATGTCAATTTGGCAAGTCTACAGCACATCTCCCAGTAGTGCTTCAGTAAGTGTTAAATTTATAATCACCCCAGTTTTTACATGTTCTTATGGTCACATACTGTGAATCATAGAATAGAATATACTATATTTTGGGGTTTTTGAATCTGCCATTGAGTATATAAATCAAGGAAAGTCTGCTGTCCTGTCTTTAAACCAAAGACAAAGGATTAAGAGTTTAGTTAAACACTCCCCACACAGACTCTCTGGCACTGCGAAAGCTATCGATTCCTCTATTTCTTCTTTTGGTAAGAGTGTAAATTGCATTTTGGACCTGCAGTTCAGGCCAGTTATATATTTGGATAAATCCTTTTTTTGGCCTCTTTAGGCGCACTTCATTTTCAAGCACCGCTTCACAGATGCTGTGCACTCAGTGACCTCCATGACTCACATTAACTTTCTTTCTCTATGGGCCATAAATATATTTATCTGTTGCTGGCAGGTTTTATTGGGACACTTGTATATCACATCAATAATACATAGAGCAAGGTGCCTTGCCATGTACCAGCTGGGCACAGTTGTGCGCTTGTCTTCACTGTGTCCAATATTCTACTGTCTCCTGTTGTGTTTGCATTTGCAATCAGTGAAAATTTGCATAGAGGAGAATATTACTTGCCATGACATTCAAGCATCTGACGTATGAAATTTGTCTTAGTCATTCCTTATGTCCAACAAATCCTCATGCTGTACGTAAATAACAAAATAGTTTTTTTTGTCAATGCATTCCAAAGAAGAACGTTTTCTAATCTGTTTCCCCTTCAAAACACTCACAATGATGGTTAAAGAAAATCAATGTTTACCACTGGTCCAAGACAGGAAGTGAACCCCCTTGTCTTTGGTGTGGGAATAACAAGACTGCATTCTTCGCACATTCATGCACCTTGACCTTCACACCTTCACTTTCTGCAGCAAAGCTTTAGTTTCTATTAATTATGTAGATTTGTCAGTGAGCAAGAGATCTAAGATCTAAGCTGCCAAATAATGAAACATGTTTATTTAAGGATCCGAAAGCACAAAGAAAATAGTGAGACTGAGATGACCTTAACTGCCTGAGTTTTATAACAAGAATTATTCCTCTTCTACACCCCCCCCCCCAAAAAAAAAACCAAAAAAAAACCTATACATCTCAATTTTAAATGCAATGTTGCTCCTCACATAGTATTTACATAATTTTCATGGTAAATAAAAATTGGAGGGATTTCCGTCTTACCAGAGTTCTCAAAGTCTTTATAAGAGGCAGCCCATGACTCAGACATCCCCAGCAGGGTGTTCTCCATGATCTGGATGTCGGTGATGGGACAGTTGCACTGGGGATACTCCTCGGCGCACTGACAGATGCACTGGTTGTTACGGCACACGTACTCTCCCTCTCCGTTGCACATAATGTAGCTTAGAGCTGACTGGACAAATTTTTCCTGCAGGTATTCTGGGAAAATGACCTGAAGACCTGAAACCAAGACAAATGGGAGGTTTTAGTGAAACATAATGCATAAAAAAAAAAAAATCTTTACAGAATATTATATGAAGTATAATTTAAGAAAAAATAAAGTGCATTCCAGTGCTTTTTCAATTTTCTTCACATTAGAAATCGATGAAGCAGCTGGACACAAAAGGAATCTGAAAAGTGTAGCCGTCACGCTTTTTACACCATATCGTTCTTTTACAAAAGCTCAAAACAAGGTCTGATAAAAAATCATATTTTATTCATTTTCTAATTAAATGTATCGTATACTTGTGTTCTGATTAAGACCACAACATAAACGGTATCTCTTCACAAATATAATAAACACATGGGGTCCAAAAGTGGGATCCACTGTGTGCGAGAACAAGTTACCAGAAATGAGAAAAGTGGCTGTGAAAGGGTTGACTGCCCTTCCAAGATTGCTCTGTGTTATAAGCACTCATTTATTTTTCTAAAAGATGTGCTTCAAAGTTCGCCTCTGTTCAACTTCAGCTGTCTGTTCTGTGGCGGGTCACTCAAAATTTGACAAAGTGTAACAGTGATTGATGCCTGCTCTCTTGTGCTGCGCGCTGGTTTATTCAGCAAAGAGCGTTTTTTTTTTTTTTTTTTTTTTCATGTGCATGCATGTGTTTCAGTGTGTTACCGTTTGTATTTGCTTCATACATGCAGCATTGTGCTTATTATACACTAATGACAATCGCTGGATTTGTAATCTAGAGGCCAATTTAAGGCTGAGGCTCAAAGTACCTCTTCACTCTCAACACTGACAAGGTATTAATAATTTTTAGACTCTGAGCCAATCCATATCTCACCCTGGGGATCTCATAGAATTGAAGCTTGGAGAGCTAACAGTAAAGGCTTTCTCTTCAGACCAGGCCTGGGAAAATAAATCCCTAGCTCTACAAGCCACTGGATTGGAAAAGAACTAAATAGATTTTTTCCTTGTTGTATGAAACAGCATCTTGGCGAGGCAATATTTTCTTAATAGGTTTACTTGAGCACAAACAGTGCTTCAGCAGAAAATATGCAACCAGGAACCAGAACATAACATGTTATTGAATGATGAATGATTGCATTATTTTCTCCACTCACGTATTGTTTTCACCCAAAGGTGAAAATAGGAATCCATTTATGCAAAATCAACATAATGTTGCTGAAATGAAAGGGAAAGTAAGCATATAATTTCATACTATACACATGAATCATTTTCAGGGTGTTGTCATGGAGTCAAATGGTATCTCTTATTATGCATGTGGCAATTAATGCTCAGCAACAACACTGGCTAAATGGATAACTGTGAGTAATTTAAAGGAAAATGAAGGTTTTTAATATAGTATGTGCAAAGATTGGGCTCTGAAGACAAAAGACAACATCCATTGTCATGGCGACGGCCTCTGAAGAAGAGTAAGACATACCGTGTTTGTGTTATTAATCCAGCAATGTTTGCCAATTTCATATTCAATAGTTAAGTCATATCTATATATAATCATGATATAAATTACATTTTTTTGAAAAAAAAAAAAAGTTCCTCCAGTTCTCATATGAGACTACCACAAAGGAAATGTTTTACCTCTGTATTTACACTTTCAACTGTGCAAAGCTTTTTATACTAAACAACCTTTGCTTGTAAAACCTTGAATATCCGTCGGTTCCCTTCTCCTCCACACCTCATCAGAACCACTGCCCATCAGTGATGAAGGGAACAGACGGAGGGAGGGATGGGGGGAGTAAAGGGGATGGATGGATCATGTCTGACCACAAAAGAGTTGGGTTGCACAGGGCTTTTTCTCCATCAGGCCTGTCTGCGGCCCCTGGATCCAATATTCATTTAGCTTGATGTATTCCTGGGCTTGAAACTTTAATGTGATTTGTGGGAGAATCCAGATGGCAAGTTCACGGATCAACGCTGCTCACTGACAGTGCTGGTGCCAGCGGCCGGGTGCACAATAACACCGAGTGCCTCAGCCCTCCCTCTTTCTCTCTTCTGTCTTACCATACCTCATACCCCCTAACCCTACCATCAACACACACACATTTCCCTTTTTTTTTTCTTTTTTTTTTCCCTTTTCTTTTTTCTGATATCAATGTGTTGGTGCTGGGATATTGCAGAAGGAACCCTTTCATATGCTGACACTCTGGTCAGTACTATCAGTCCAGCGATCTCTTGTTTCCACTCTTTCTACAATGTCTCTGTCTCTTCTCTGTCCACGCCTCCCTCTCTCTTACCTCTGACTGTCTCTGTTTTCTGTACACATCTCGTCTGTCTCACTTTATTACACTCACTCCTACTCCCGCCACACTCATGTGCATGCCCCTTGACTTGCCCCCCCCCCCTCTCCCCATCATCCTTTGGCTCCCATTCACTCCATCAATCACTTTCCTCATTCCTGTTTCTTCACCTCTTCTGCTCTCCTCTACATTCTCCCACTGAGCACGTACGCAGCTATTGGAAATTTGATGTCTTGTCCACCCACTCCAGTATAGAAATGATGTCATGCAATAAAAGTAAATCCATCAACATTTGTTAGTGCAGTGGGGAATGAGTAAGAGAATTGGAGCCCTCAGGCCAAAAATGAAATGAGAACCTAATCAGAGTAAAAAACATTTATCTTGGTGACTTTTCCAGCTTCGCCATGTTAGTGCAGTAACATGTGAAAACACTGAGAATGATTGGACTATAAAGCTACAGTTTATATGGCTCTGAGGCAGGTTTTTGTTGGGGAAAACACTAGATATTGGAGGAGGGAGTCACACTTACCATCATTAAAGAGCTGCTGATGAAATGAAAGGTGCATATTGGAATTCCCGTGCAGCCATTTGATAACCTCCAACTTCATGCTCTGTCAGTGCACATAATTCCCTGCAACCCCTATGCCTGGCTTGCTCTAAATAAATAGCACCTCAAAATGGCAGTTAATCTCATTGCATACATCAGAGGCTGATATATTTTCTTCACGTATGCTGGAGGATATAGGCCCTCAAACATTCCATGAATACAGAAAACGGAGACTCTGCGACTGTGACTTTGCCTTTTCATTATGTGTCTTTCTAGAGTGCTCTATTTTTACATGGTGATAGATGGAGAGTGTAGGCCGCAACTGAGGCTTGTAACTGCCTTGGCAAGCAGTTGCCTGCTTATTGCAATGCCACGCTCCGCCTCATAAGTTACAGTTTCATTAAAGATTAATTGACCATTGTGTGGCCGCAATTTCGCAAAATAATCATTACTTAATCCACCGGTGCAATAAAGTGCATTACTTCAATGGGGGCATTAAATTACCATTGGAGGTTATCGTTGCAGCCATGATACAGAACCAAAGACCTCTGAACTGGAAGACTGCCTGTTTCTCCTCAGTCCAGGCTTTGCCCAGTCTGCCCTGCTGATCCCTGGATACTTAATACAGCAGGGGCATACAGTTTTAAGATTTGCTGCGTTGGCCCATTTCACGAGTGCTCCTCCTCCACAACTATGAGGTAAAGGTGCAGCTAAAGTAGCTATTTATCCACTTTTCATTTCTTTGCATAAATTGCTTTAGGTCTCTGACAGTGTGTGTGTGTTGGGCCTGACAGTGAATAACATGTTCCACTGGAGCTATTCTCAGCTCTCCGAATATGTTAGCATTTTTTAAAGTTCTGAATGAGGTGTACTTAGCATTGAAATGGAGAATGTGTTGCTGTGTCTGTGCTGAGTAGATTATCGTAGATTATCATAAGTGTTCTAAGCACTCTAGAAGGCAACAGCTTGTGTTGTCAAACAGGACTGTCGACTCAAAATGCTGTATTACAGTCTTATTTAAGAATTAGTGTGTAGGACATTTGTTATTTGAACTATTTAATCAGTGTTTTTATCTCAAATATCCTTCCGTGTCTTATGTGCAGTGCTTCTTTTTCTTCCATTAGTTTTCTATTGAGTTTTTATTTTTGGGGATTTTTATGGTACATGAATATTTAGACATGCATGAATTGGGAACAGCAAAACAACAGGGAAATGGAAAATCCCATTTCCTAGAACATATTACAACACGAGTGCTTGCATATGCATATGTGATACATCACACTGTATCTGTGTGCAACAGAAAGACTCGCAGATCACAATGGTTTTCGCACAATATCCCTATATAGCTTTGAAGAAACCTACTCATTGTTAACACAAAAAGCAGAAAGGATGCAGGTGCAGTAATCATGGTAAAAGCATAAATTATATATAAAAATGGTATTGGCATTCAGGGCTGGCGGCTCCTGCCTCATGAAAAAAAAAGGGAAGGGAATTGCTGAAATTGCACGTTGAAGCAGTTGCTGGATTGAGGAGGGCAGGCAGTCTGGAGAGGTAGATGAGCTCTCCATGGTGCTGAGTTATTGCCAGTTGTGTTGCACACTGGACACAGAGACACACAAGTTGAGTCAGAGTAAAAGTAAGTTAGTGATTACTTTTCTCCTTCCTCCCCTGTGCAAGATCACAGTAGGACAACAGCAATTTTGTATTTTATTTCTGGAATGATACCTTCCAAGTGTTAGTCTATGCAAGTTGAATGTAGTAATTTTGTTTTGAAGTTTGCAAGATACTCTCAAAACACACTGGATATTTACTGTGTTACAGATTATGGCTTCAGCATGTAATTATAGATGTGGTTGCTGTTGGCTGCTCGTGCTCTTCGGTTGCACTGTTCAAGCTGTTTCATCATGTGTTGCCATGTGTCCCTGCACAGCAGTAGCACTAGGGCCTCGGCTTGTGAGATTGTACTACTGTTACACATTCATGTGCACGCGCACACACACATACGCTCATGCATGCGCACACATACACACCCTTTGTGGGCTCTTGCAGAAATCACATGTTTTACAAGAACCCTGGAGAGGGGAGGAGAGACGTATGACAAGCTCTGACATTTCCATTTCAGCGAGAAAAGACACAACTGCCCTCAAAGTGTCAAGATGTGCTGTGTGCATGTCTCAGATCAAAAGCCCAGATTTATCACAGAAATTAC